AGAAGTTAAGAGAGGAGAAGTTGAAAAAAAGAAATAAGGGAAAGGAGCAGGGGAATGAAATTCAATAAAAAAGTTGTCGTATCCTAATGCTCCTACGAAAAAAGACAATGAGAAGCATTATGCTAGATTCTTGGACATATTTAGTCGGTTGCAGATAACCATTCCATTTTTCAAGGCTCTAGAGCAAATGTCAAAGTATGCAAAATTCATGAAAAATATACTTACAAAGAAGAAGAGGTATACGGATAAGGAAACCATTGAGCTCAATGCAAATTGTAGTGTTATCGTGCAAAGCATTCTTCCGCAGAAGGAAGGAGATCCGGCAAGAGTAGCTCTACATTTAAATATAGGTAGTGATTTCAAGTGTAAGGCTTTTGTCGATATGGGTGCTAGTATTAACTTGATTCCTTTATCTATGGTGAAAAGACTTGAGAACATGGAGATGAAATCAACCAACATGATTTTGCAACTTGCGGACAAATTTTTATCAACTCATCCTCATGGTGTTGTTGAAGACGTGTTATTCAAAGTCGACAAAGTTTTATTTTCGATTGATTTTGTTGTCATGGATATGGAAAAAGGTGAGGATACACCAATAATCCTTGGAAGACCCTTCATAAAAATCGCAAGAATGCTAATTGATGTTGATGAAGGCACAATGAAGGTGAGAACTAATGATGAAGAAGTGTGTTTTGCACTTTTCAAAGGTGTGGTGTATTAAAACCAATTGGCAGATGATTTTCAAGTGAGAAAGAAAGATGCAAGAGTTTCAGTGAAGAAAAAGAAAGACGAAGACACAAGAGTTGCATCAAAGAAAAAGAAGGAGGAAAGTGCAAAGATTGAAGCGGTTTTGAAAAAGAAGGATGAAGAGGCCAAGAAGGCTATAACGAAGTCGTGTTGGGATTTTTCATTCTTGAGGAAAAGTGGACCAAGAGCTAGTCACGATAATGGTTGAGGACTTTTGTGGTAGTGAGTTAATCCTGAACCCCAACATTGTAAGCACCCTTTCAAACAACATTAAACAAAGCGCTAGTTAGAAGGCACCCCAACATTGTAAGTACCCTTTCATCTTTATTGAATTTTTAGTGATTCATTAGTATAAGAAGTTTTGTGGTAGAGTGAGAAGAAAATAAAAATTTTGTTGAAAAATTTGTCTCATTTGCCTTGAGTTCGCTGTGCGAATTGAGCGAGATAGAACAAAAAACCATTTTTTATGCCACATCACTTAAGTTGTTGTTTTATTTTGTGGGCCAATTGCATGGGCCCAATAGCTTGTAGTAGATTTTGTGAGGCAAGACCTTTCCCCACTTCTCTTTTTACCTTTCCATTCCCTTGTGTTTTGATGTGCTGTCGTGCACGGATCAAAAATAAGTAATTTTAAAAGAAATATAGTTAACAGTAACAACAACTCAAGTATTATTCTCAAGGATTCTTGTACTCTTATTAACCAACAATTGGAATAATGGTTTTTTTTTTAGGTTTCGATTAACATAAAAACATGAGAAAATAAGTGATTATCAATTAAGATAAAACGACTAATCCTATTGATTCGGGTTCCGACTATCATCGGTTACTATAACACCAATCCCTAAGAGGATTTGGTCTTATTCGATTATGAGATCAATTAGACAAGCGTTATTAATATCATATGAATTATGTTCTTTTTTACCGAATTAAGCAAACGATTAAGAATATGACGAGTTAACGATTTAAGCAAACGACAACACACAATTAAATTTAGGAACATGCATATAATCGAATTTAATCAATTCTATCCTATAAACAACAACCGAATTAAGCAAACAACTGCAATCAAATTAAGAAAATGACTTCATAGAAAAAGATTGAAAGGAATCGAATTTAAATTGGTATTAGAATAACCTCAAAGCGATGGAACCTGTAAACAGCAGGATTTGCCTTCGGGAATTAGTTCTCCATTTGTTTTTATACAAAAGCAAAAAGAATTTTTTGTGAATAGCATAGAGAATGCTAAAGATGAACAGTGCGCGGCTGCTAGGTATAGGAAAGTATCACAAATTCCGGTTCTAACCCAACTGGGTCGAAAAACATATAAAACCCGACCTAAAACTAAATATTTCGTAAGGCAGAATATCGGTTCTGACTTTAACGAATTATTTGAGTCTGCTGCACTCCAAGTTAGCTTCTGCCTACAACATAAAAGTTGTATCTCTTTGTCTCAGCTAAAATATTCGAACAGTAGTATGAAATGACAAAAAAAAACCCTTTAACTATGATTCGAACAATAGTATGAAATGAAACTTGGATCTGGATGAGTTGAAATAAGGGAAGGGACATCTATTTATATGCTAGAGTTTAACTCAAAAAGCAAATAGTTTTAAATGCATTTTAATACTTGTCAATTGATTGACAACATATCCTAATCGATTGGTTAGCTCTTTTATAATTGACTACGAAGTTAAAAATGGAAATAAATGATATATAACTGTTACCCATAATTAAGATGTTGTCCTACTCGATTAAGGCTCATGTTTGAAATCTCCTAATCGATTGGGATAAAGTGTCTATCGATTGGCAAAAACAAACTTTGACCAAATATTTTCAAACAACTTCCAACTCATTTGACACAACTTCAAGACATTTTTGAAAGTCTTTTTTTGAGAAAAATTAGTTTAAAATGTTTTTTTTGTGTATGTGTGTGTGTGTGATTTAACCATACACTTTTACAAAGACTCTGTTATGAATTACATAGTTTTCACTCAAACAAATTAAGGCAGTGTTGTCTTGTTACTTCAAGACTTTGCCAAACACTTTCCTTCTTTTAGACACTTGCTTGAGTTAACTTCTATTAGGTTATCATCATTGGATAGTCAAGTCCGACAAACCTTAGTTATTTGGTTTGCATCTTTAATTGCTTAACTATTTATACTTTACTTATCATCATCAGTTGTCAGCATCAAAAGTAAAATAATTGTCCTTGTTAAAAAGCACACCACCTGCAAAAAAAAAAAAAAAAAAAAAGATTCCATAGAGAAGGATAAAATAGAAGCAATAAAAAATTAACATCTCCCACCTCTACGAGAGAGGTTATAATTTTTCTTGGCCATGCAGGATCTTATTTCTAGTTCATTGGATATTTTCCTAAGATATCTAAACCATAAAAGGCTTGCTAGCGAAGGATGTGGAGTTTGTATTTGAAAAGTATTTTCTTGAATCCTTCAACAAATTAAATGAAGTACTAATCTTTGTGCCATATATGCAACCTTCTGATTAGAGTATTATGTTTGAGATTATGTGAAACACCAACGACTATGATGTAGGCGTTGTTCTAAGGTAAAAGAAGAACAAAAAAACTATACACACCACATATTACGTAGGAAGAACCTTGGATGAGGCACATATTAGCTATGCAACACCGGAGAAAAACCTATTGGTTATAGTTTTTGCAATTGATAAATTTTGATTTTGTGTAGTATGATCGAATATTATAATTTATACAAATCATGCATGCATTAAGTACCTCATGAATTAAAAGGATGTTAAACCAAGGCTAATTTGTTGTATATTGTTGCTTCAGAAGTTTGATTAGGAAATTTGGGACAAGAAAGAGACAAAAAATATTAGTAGATCATATATGTCAAGATTGACCAACACAAAGAAAAATGAGTTGCCACTAAACAACTCTTTTTCGGATGATAAGTTGTTTGCACTGACTCAAAATGAAGTGCCATAGTATGATGATTTTGTGAGTTATCTTGCAGCTGGAGTCTTACCTCTAGATATAAACTATTAGCATAAAAAAAGTTTTTTCGAACTTAAACCATTACTATTGGGTTGAAACTTTACTTTTTAAGAGAGGTGTTGATGCAATATTCTTATGTGTATCCTTGAAGAGGAAATTGAGAGTGACTCATTTCCATGCTTCCATCTATGGGGGACATGTTATCACCTCAAAAACTATTGTGAAGTTATTGCAGGTTGGCCTGTACTGGCCTAGCATTTTTTAATGACGTGCACTCATTTATAGAGAAATGTGACATGTCCCAATTCATTGGAAATATTTCAAAGAGGAATGATATTATGTTAAACAACATCCTATATGTAGAATTTTTTTCTGTTTCGGCTATTGACTTTATGGAACTGTTTCGATGGGTAAGGGGTCCAACACCTCTATGCCCTATGGTTCACCATCATTCTGCTGTTGTTGCTAGATGTTGATAACGCTGCCCTAGAAGGTTTGATTTGGGTGACATAATTCTTTCTTAGCGGCATGCATCTCCGCTAGGGGTTCTTGGTCACAACTAATAAAATGTGATCCTTGTGAAATGGTGACTGGGTCAATCAACAACCAATTATTGTGTGCAATAGATGTTACCCCTACTTGCAGGTTCTTTTACTTTGCTTAGGATCTAACTCCAACTTCCTTTCTTTCACCAAGTCAAACCAAACTCTTGATGCCACTTATTAAGAAGACCAATGAATATAGGAGGTATAATGGATGAAAGACTATTAAAAACTATGACACTGAATATTTATTCAAAACCTTAAGATAATATATACATGAGTTATTTTTCTTATAAATTCAACATTCTATTTTGTATAGTCGATGTGACACTTAATCACTTAAACTTAAATTGAACGAATTCTAATTATATTTTTCTCATTATATCAACTAGTGTACACAATAAAGTAAATGTAAAAATGGTAGAAAAATAAACTATATCAAAATAAAGTATTCCCTTTATATATTACTAGCGTTCAGACGGTCACGCGACCGGTCCGCCACATAAAAATATAAACTATACTTTTTTTTAAATATTTTTTTTTAAATATAATATGTAGAAGTTAATAATAAGAAGTTATAGTATGTTTTCATAGAAGCTTACAAATTAGGTTATGGCACTCCACCTGCTGCAACAGTTTCCATAACCTCATCCAACAAAATGTTTCAAGTCAAATGGAGTCTTAAAAAGCAAAAGAAAATTATGACAAGTTGATTTGAAATTCTTAATATATCATTATTATAGCCCTATTGCAGAAAATATATTTTTAGTAAAATGCATAAGCAAAAGTAGAACTAGAAGCAAGAGCAACCCTGGCAACAGCAAAAGCAAAGTTGAAAATTGATTTGAGTTTGATACCAATATTGGTTCATGATCTTGATCATTCATATCATCTTCACAAGTTATTTCAGCTTCGACATTCACATCATCTTCATCAGCAACTTCAGTGTCTGTTTTCTCTGCTACATGTTCTTCATTCTGCATACCAATATCCCCTCCCTCATCCTTAGAATCAAAATCTTGCTTTTCGGCAGTATGTAGTATTGTGTTCGACGAACAATCGATTTCTTCAACAATCTCGGAAACAACAGCTTCATCATCATCATCATCCATCTTTTCCGCTTCAGAGACAACACTCTCCGAGTTGAAATCATCAGATAACACAATTTCATCATGATGAAATGAGGTTTCGGATACCACTTCACTGATGGTTTCGATCTCAGAAACACTTTCAATTTTCTCCTCCTGAAAAAATAAAATTAAAGCAATTTTTTTGGACTTGTTTTCAGACTCTAACATAACCAAATTTATAGGAATGATAATCGATAAATCACCTCAATAAAAGTGTGGTTAATGCTTTTCGCATCGGTTATCATCACTTGACTGTGGAAAATACAAATGTTTAAATGAATCAAAGCAACATCGTTCAAATCTAGGTAAAATAAAAAATATTAATATTAACAATAACAATTAACAACTCTATAAAATTATTCAAGACAAACAGTTATGTTAATGTTACCATGGTGCAACATCTTCATCTTTTGTTATGATTGTTGAAGGTTGAAGAAGTGCATGAAGACCTTCATTAGTTTCAATTTCGTGATCTTCTATGTTCTTATTACATTTTTGGTCCAATGAATTTTGTGGTTTGGGTTTGGGTTTTGTTCTATGTTTGGTGATTGAAAAAGTGACAACAGCTATAAAACCAACAACCGCCACGATAAGTCCGGCAATATCATTCCCACCGCCGCCACCGCCGCCGCCCTTACGGCCTGTGATGTTTTCCTTTTTCTTTTTGTGATTGTTTCCCATGTGACGATACCAGTTGGTTCCTTGATTCATGATGGTTGAGAAAGATGAAGAGTCAGTGCATGAATGAATGAGTGAAGAGATGGAAAATTAAATAAAGCCGCTCAGTCAATTAGGTCATTAATAAGCGTTTTCATTTTCAATGTGAGGTGTATTATTTGGGGAATTTAATTTAATTTTACTTTTACCATGGTAATTTAATTAATTAATAATGTATAAAATGCCTTTTGGAAAACATTTTAGAATATTTTTATTTTTGGTGCATATGGTTATAATTTACTATTATAACGTTTTATTTAATTATAGTACAACATGTTTTTTGAGTTTATAATTTATAATTTATAATTTATAAATTATAGTCATATAATAATTTAAACCTCTTTGATAAATTTTATTATTTTTTAAATAGTTTTTAGTTTATATTCTAAATTTAATTAATATGTAATGACAGTATAAATATTTTTTTTATATGGTCAGTTAATATGTAATGATTTACACTGATAGTGTATGACAATTAATTTCTTATATTTTATAACTCATTAGTTTTTCTTCTAATTTTATCTTAATTATTTTACCTAAATTTCATTTTTACCATTAATAATTTATTATAATTTGTTTTATAACTAATATTTTTCAAAATCACTTTGAAATAATATATATATAATCAAGATTATATATAAATAACTAATAAATATGTTATTTAATATAAAATAAAATGATTATGGGTTATGTTTGGCGGAATCTAATTTATGTCAATTTATATTTATCATTTAGTTTAACTATTAATTTTATCAAATTCTACAATTAATTTATAAACTATCAATCATCAAAATCAATTATAAATTATGTTACATCATCCATCAATCATAAACTTTCAACTAATTAATTTATGTTTATTGTTGAAAGAAATTAACTAATTGATTGTAATATAAGACTTATTATAGAAGATGGCTAATTCCCATATTAAAGTTAAAATATTTGATAAAATAATTGGTTCTACAATTTTTTTAAAATCTGGTATTCAATCAATTGGGTGAACAAATATAGATTTATATAAAATATATTAATTATTTCATCTATTCTTTTTTAATTTTAGTTATTATAATAATTTTTCATACAAATTAAGGCAACCAAAAAAAATGTTATTGTTGATATAATTATTATATTTTTCTTATAGTAGCCTTTATAATTTAATATTTTATTCATTTTTTTCTATATTCAATAAATAATTAAAAGTATTGATGCAACAATAACTAATTATGCATTGAACTTTGACAATGAAAAATAAATAAAAAAAGTATTTTTTTATAAATGCAAAAGTTAAAAAAGAAACGGAGGGTGTAATACTTAATTTATCTTCTTATTTTATTTTATTTAAGTTGATTTTAAAATAATTAAGAAATAGAAATTGGAAACAATATTTTAATATATTTGTTATCCTTCAAACGAATTTAATTTATTTATTCCTTCCATTTCAAATTATAAATTCTTTAAGTAAGGAGTGTAATTAATTTTGTATATAAAAGAAGAATTATGAATGGTTATATGACATTGCTCTTCACTAATTACATGAAAAAAATTAAAATAATTGAAATAAGTGACTGTGATAAATAATAAATAGTATATTAATAAAAATTCATTAGTTGAATTCAATAGCAATTGATAACTTTTTTAAGAGTGGAGATTCATTTTAGTCCTCATAAAAAATAATGATTGCAAATTTATCTGTACAAAATATTTTTATTTAATTTTTAAATTTAACCAAATCATATTAGTCTCTGTTAATATTTCTAAAAATTAGTTTTTTTTTACTTTTGAAACATGATTAAACAGTCGTATTTATTATTTTTATTGACGTGAACTTATTATTTTTATTGACATAAACTTATTATTTTAATTTTCAATTATTTTTAAAGTAATGTAACATTTATTTTCTTTTTTATTTATTAATTTCATTTAGTTATCAAACAAAGCTAAAAAATTTATAAAAGTTTTGCATTAAGAAAGGGTCAAACCAGAAATTTATTGGCTCGGAGGCGACCTTTTCTACCACTGAACCAATGTATTTTGCATGTTTTAACTTAAAAATAAAAGTCATGTCAATATATTTATTTTATTATTTTTTAGTTATTAATAATACTTAATACATTTTGATAATATATTCTTAAATGAAATTCACCTTCAATAATATCACATTTAAATATTTTTCAAAATCATTTTATAAAAATTTAAATTAATTTCTAATAACATTCAAAATAAAATCATACGTTTAAATAATTTTCAAAACACATCCAAATATAATCAAATACTATTAAAACGTGTTTCAACTCAAACAATATGAATTAAATGACTTTTTATACCATCCAAACATATCTACAAGTTAAATATAATATATAAATCCATATTTTGTTCATTTAGATTAGATATATTAATATAATTCTTATTTATTTGAATGAATGTCAAAACAAAAATCATACTTACTAAAATCAAATTTATATATTATTCAAAAATATTTAATAATAAACTAAAATTGAAAATAATTTTAATTTATTAATTAAATGTGTATGAATAATATCTAAATGTAATTTTAGTGGGTGTGAATTTTATTTAAAGATCTATTATAAAAATGTATCATTGTTTTTTAAAAAGAAATCATCTGCTATGAGTGTAATGAGACGGATCATTACAAGAATGAGTGTCTAAAGCTTAAGAAAGACAAGAAATCTAATAAGAACTTCATCAAAATCGAGAAGGAACTCATAGAAATTTGGGATGACTCTGATTCTAAAGAAGAAGATTTTGATGAAGAACAAGAAAATGTTGCATTAGTGGCAACAACAATTAACGCTAGAGTCTCTGGAGAACCAGAAGACAAAATGCTATCAGAATCAGATTCAAACTCCGACTCAGAGGTATTACCTAAACTCTCTCGTTATGAATTAGAGTCATGTCTTTCAGAAATGCTAGAGACATATCAGAGCCTTCAAAGTAAATACAAGAACCTTAAACAAATACATGTAATTACTTCTAAAGCTAGAGATAAGCACTAGTAGAAAAAAATGCTTGTTAAGTCGGTTGAAAATGACTTTTTAAGTCCGGTCCGAAACTGACCTAAGAATTGCCGACATACGAAGTTTTGAATTCTTAAGTCGGATTTGGACCTGACTTAAGAAAATGTTATTAGGTCGGTTTAACTATGTCTGAATTCATAAGTCTAGGTTTTTAGAAAGCCCTTATCCAATTTGTAACCAACTTAAGAACTTCTTTTCTTAAATCATATATATTTAACCGACCTAACAAGTTTGATTTTTTTTTAATATCAATTTTTTTTGGGATAGCACACACACGCGCACACACACACACACACACACACACACACACACACACACACACACACACACACACACACACACACACACACACACACACACACACACACACACACACACACACACACACACACACACACATATATATATATATAGGGCTGGAGCTTCATTGTGGCCATCTCTGTACCTCAAAAAAATTAGTAAAAGCATTCAAACCACATTTGACTCAAGGATGATAACAGTGCAAATTAGAGACAACAAAAGAATCAGTATCTGAAGCATAAGGTTATGAAATTCAATGCTAGATTGAGCTAATTTAACTCTACTGCCTTCAACTCACTGTCTGTTTCATGTTTCCAGCTTTGTGTTATCTCACACTTCAGCAAATACAATGAATACAGTACTAAATTCTACAGAACTAATACAATGAATACGGTACAAGATTCAGAAAAGCTTACTCCAAAAATCTAAAAAAATAAAGCTTCTTTGTTTAATGAAGGGGGCACATAATTAAAAATAACAAAGATTGAGGCACTGTTTGTCAAAACTGTATTTTGAGCTTATAGCTTATAAGCTCGTATCTTTAAAAACTATCCGTTTAGCAAACAGAGCCAAAGCAACCATTTCATTTTCACCATTATAAACATAGTTTGAAGATATACAGAAGAGCAGACAGATGGAGCAGATGAGAAGTTGCTTTCCTACTTATCTTTCGTACAATACAGGATTCTAACAACCTATGTTTTCAGACTCTAACTTGTGCCAAAGCTTTATTTTACTGCTAAGGTTGATGATGAAGAAGCATTAATCACAGATGAAGAAAGGATACCACAATGTCTTTGGCTAGCAGGTAATGAAGGATTGGAAGAAGCCTCCTGCATGCGGGACTGACTTCTCATTTTCTTACTTTCTCCTTCATGAAACTTGTCTAATGAAACTTGTCCAACCTTTGTTTCATTTAGGCTGGTTGGAAGAACACAGTTGCAGAGAAAACCTTCATATTGAGAAACAGAACTTACCATTAGCAAAAGAATATTGGAAACAGTTAATGTAATATAAACAAGTACATATTATGCAGCAAACATTATAGGGAACATAAAATGTGTTTGGTTCGCTGTTTTTTCATAATATATGTTATGTTTTGAAGGAAAACAGCATAGCAGATAAACACACCAATGACAAAATAGAAGAGATAAAGTAGCGGAATTTCAGTATCAACTCATCAGAATTTTAATTCTCAAAGTATGTTATTATGACTTATGAATGGCAATAACCTAACTCATGAAATATATGTAATCAAAATTTAGAAAAGACTAAAGAGGTTACTTGCACCAGTTGTCCATGCAACACAAGCGGAAGTCCCGTAGCACACCCCACGATCCTGGATAATGAAATTAGAAGTCGGCGAACTGTCGAACTCCCACAGCTATTGCACAGTGTTGTTTACTTCGGAGACGGTTGGAGCGATGAGTGTCAAATACACGAACTGCAGTGATAAAAACCATGTCAAAGACTCATAATCCATTTAAAAACGAGAGGCCGTTGGCGGCGAGAAAACTCGACACAAGAATTACACAACAATTGTCAGGAAATAGCATACCAGAGTTGCTGAAATAGCAACTCAGAATTGATTCCAACACCAATCTTCTCGCCAAAGCAATTCCAAGGCTATGCCGAATCCGCGAACTTTATTCGAGGTTTTTAGAACACTTGCACGTCGTCATTGATGTCGCAAGAGGAACTAACAGTCCGACAAGTTCTTCTTTGCTGTCATAGAATATAAGCGAAACTTACTTTGGGTCACGGTGATAGCAGATATAAGCGGTTCATATACACCTTTCATAGGAATTGCATTAGTTCCTTTTCCTGCCCATGATAAGTGGATTTGCAAGGTGCTATCATTAACATCAACATTAAAGTCCCGAGCAATTCCTTTGCCGACTCCACCAGTTTCTTCCATAATGTTAAAGTTTTTTAAATATTTATGACCCTGTCATTATATAGTTTTGAAATTCAGAACTTTTGATTTATTAGAAACCAGATATAAAATATGAGCAACATTTTGGTAAAAACTAGAAACTAAGCGCTGGTCTAGATTGGTTTGCTTGAGTTTATCTACTGACATAAGTACAAGTAGAACTGTTTGTAAGAGCTTATAGGAATAGCTTAAGACATGTCCATAAGCTGTTTTCAACTAAATTCCATAAACTCTATAAGATAGTTTATGAAAATAGCATATTTAAGATATCTTATGAAAATAGCTTATAGAAGATACCTTATGAAAATAGTTTTCAACTAAATTTCATAAGCTCTCTATAGGATAACTTATGAATATAACTTACAAAAGATAACTTATGAGAATAGTTTGACTTTATGGTATCTTTTGTTATAGAAATAGACTATACATAAGCACTTATATGGTGTTCGTCAACTTCATATTCTTTGTCATCAAACTCAATAGCAGGTCCTCCACAATTTATAAACAATGAGTGATCTACAGAGAAATATTAACAAAAATATTTTTTCATCACATTAAAAAAGAAACTATCACAATTTCATTTACAAAACATTGTAGTTTATGAAAACATGATTGGTCTAACATGTCTAAACACTCACACTGAGATTTTCCCGAACAAGGTAAGTTCGTCTTCAAAAAAGATAATCTAAAAGATACGAAGTTAAATTCAGAAGATTATTCCAAAGGTGATACATAATTAAAACTAAACCATAAATAGTAGTATGATCATACGAACTTACGAAGTGTTTGCTGAAGGAGAGACGCTAGACGCTAAATTCCTGTTCAACAGTACTATGCTTAGTGTTGCCATACACAAAATAATTGTAAAATTGTTGGAAAAAAAATGAAGCTTACACGGCTAAAGGCTGGCAATCAGTCGAAGAAGACTCGGAAAAATTGTTGAAAGACAAATCGCTGAAACATGAAGCATGTATATTTTAATTACTTCATCACTCAACGAGTGTTCAAGACTAATTTTGCTTGTGTTAACACCAAAATTTCAACAAGTGAGTAAAAAGTAAGCAGTTAGTGGTAAAAAAATCAAGAAAATATGCTGACAAGTTCTGTTTGCTGGTCAGGATCCACTCGGGAGTTGTTCCACTAAGAGAGTTGTTCGTCAGAAACCTGCATCCATAATTAATATGTGCCTTGTTTAAGTCACCGTTTCACCGAAAGCAAATAACGATTGAGAAAAGAAAAGAAAAACATTTTTGTTCACTTACATGAAATTGATATTTTCCAAGTTCTCAAATGAATCTGGAATCAAACCAGTCAATCTGTTGGAGCTCAAATCTCTGAAAGAAAAAGGTGAGGATTATTATGATAAAAAAAAACTATAGAACAGTGATTAAGCAATCTATTGGATCGAACTTACAGAGTTTTTAAACTTTCCATTTTGCCAATAGAGTCTAAAATAGGACCAGTGATTAAGCAATTTCTCAATTCCCTGAGTAACAGAAAGAAAAAACCAGTTACTAAAATCCTAAACGAGTTACGAAGTTCTTCATATAAATCACGGAAGGAATGGTTTCAACTCACAGTCTCGTCATGCGTTTCAAATCTTTCAGATCAGGAAATGTCATGGTTGTGTTCCCTTTCAAATAAGATATTCTTCTGTTATATAAACATTTCATCAATCAAAAGAAAATCTTCATCTGGTTAACATTGCATTCCATAACCATGGCAGAGAAAGTACTCACAATTCCTTCAAGTTTTTCAAGAGAGATATAGCAGGAGGAATCAGACCTTCCATCGACGTGCCTTGAAAATCCCTACAAAACAAAATCTTACTCAGACTTAAGCATGACATATCCTTATTTAATTCTTCAACAAATAAAAGTCCATGGATAAACCAAAATGTATACTCACAACCTTTCGAGTTTATTCCAGTTTCCAATAAAACTCGAAATCTTCCCAGATAAACTGCTTTCGTCTATCCTACTATAGAATGTTGAAGTAACTTCAGAATTTAACAAATACATAAAGTAAAAACTGAGAAAAATTGCACTTAAACTACCTGCATAAACATAGACAGCCACTCTCTACAATGCGCTCACTATTTTCAATTACCAAAATTTTAATTGAATTACTCCTCAATCCATTTAACTAGGATTTATGTTTCCCGTTCATATATACTAGCATAAAATAAACAAAGTCACAAGTTTATAACCTATGATCCGAGATGAAAAAAGCAGAGGTGGTTTTTATCCCTTCTCCCGGTGTTGGTCATTTAGTTTCCACTCTCGAGTTCGTGAAGCTTCTAATCAACCGTGATAACCATCTCCACATAACCATTTTGATCATGATTCATGAAATACTCAAATACCACTGAAACTGATGTCTACACTAAATCACTTCCCATCTCTGATTCTCTCAATCTCATCAACCTTCCGAGATGTTCTCAAGAATGCGGATGGTATTATAGTAAATTCATTTGAAGAGCTAGAGTCGTATGCGGTTCAATCGTTTTTATCTCATCCTGGTTTTCCAGGTTTATCCATATATCCGGTTGGACCTATATTAAACCCTGAACCCAAAACTGAGGGTACAATTGATTTTGTTGATGTCATCAAGTGGCTCAATGATCAACCTCTGTTCTTAGTAGTTTTCCTCTGCTTCGGGAGTATAGGTTATTTCGATGACGATCAGGTTAAGGAGATCGCACTTGCTATTGAGAATAGTGGAGCTCGCTTCATGTGGTCTCTCCGTAAACCACCGTCGAAGGGCATATAAATTCTTAGTAATTTATCGAACACATGATTCGTAAGAAACAAAAATGAAAAAGGAAAAGAAACTTGGTTGATGCAATTTACCAAACACTTAGTGTGCAAGTTGCAAAACGGTGGAAATGACAACAACTCGATACCGATTCGTAAACCACAACCTGCAACATACCCATCATAAATTGATAAATTGGACGAATGAAAATGAACTGTAAAAACAAATAGGGCTCACGAATCCCTAATTTGAATCCTCATTCTCCCTTATATCCAAAAGATTCCCTAACCTGAAAGGTCATTGAAATGAAAAAAATAGAGAAACTTATGAGTAAGTGAATCTTAAATGAAATGAGATTGAGGGAACGAAATGAATATTGAAATGAAAATGCAACTAGAAAAGGTAAGTGGTGTTCTTGGTTAAACCGGAAAATGTTGTCGGCGGTTGAGCCCGGGCAGCTGCCCTACCTGGCCGGGCGCTGGCTCTGCCACTGTTTCAAATCCCATACCCTAAACCGAAGGTGCTTAATTTAATCAATAACACAAGGTCAAAATCTAACATTTCAAAACGCAAAGAGAAGAGAGAGAACCTGGAGAGAAAAGAATGAGTATGGTGACGGTGGTAGCAGTGGCGAAGAAAGTGAGACGTCATTAACGAAGAAGCACAAAGGCTCTCCATGAAGGAGACGAAAGTTGCAGTGAGAGATAGAGAGGTTGGGACGTTGTTGATGAAGCACGAAACCTAAATCTGGAAGCACAAGGTTTAGTATTATTGTTTTATTTCACTAACTTGTTCCAAGTTGGAATCGAACTTGCACTTTGTTCGGAGTATATAAAACTTCTAATAAACACATACATGTGATTTAAGAAATTTAATATGAATTATATATTTTTTAAAATCTTGTTTAGGTCGGTTTTAAATGCACCCGGCCTAACTAAGTTGCCAATATTTACGAAATTGTTACTGTGTCATTTCTTAAGTCAGGTGGTAAGTGAACTGACTTAAAAGCCTCTGCTAAAAAGTTATTTTTTTACTAGTGAAGTTTGAACAGAGTAATTCTTCTCTGAATGAAAATATTTTTTCTTTAAAAAATATTAACTGTGCTTTGAAAAGAAAAATTTCTAAACTAGAAGAAGAGTTAGTCTTTAATATCTCTGATACTAATTGTGTCAACAAGTATGATAAAGCATTTCAGCATTTTCTGGCTAAAAGCATAGATAGAAGCAAAATGGCTTCCATGATCTATGGAGTTAGCAGAAATGGTAAGAAAGGTTTGGGGTGTACATAAACATCTAAAATTGACGAAAGTCAGCCTGTAAAATCAAAACCTCTATATGATCATTATGTGCCTTCTGGTACTAAGCTTGATTGTTCTTAGCTTGTGCAAGCACCTTCACAGACACAGAAATGTAATATGAAACCAAAGTATCATGCACAAATTCCACTTGATTATCATGTTGCACAGAAACCCAAAATTGTGAAAAACTCTGGGAAAACTAACAAAAAAGGACCTAGATTATGGATATCTAAGGATATGATAATCTATGTTGCAGATATCCTTATCAGCTCAGTTGAAACACCAATTATGGTACCTGGACAGTGGTTGCTCGCAACACATGATGGGAAGAAGGCATATGTTCCAAAGTTTGGAACTTAAGCCTGGAGGCTACGTTGGTTTCGGAGGAAACCAAAAGGGTAAGATCATTGACTCTAGAACTATTGGTAATGGTGAACTTCCTTCTATTAATGATGTTCTTCTGGTCGATGGTTTAATGCATAACTTATTGTCAATTAGCAAACTTAGTGACAATGGTTATGATATCATTTTCAATCAAAAGTCTTGTAAGGCTATTAGTTAGAAGGATGACTCAATCCTTTTTAATGGAAAGAGGAAAAAAACATTTACAAAATCAGACTTTCTGATCTTAAGGACCAAAATGTTAAATGCTTAATGTCTGTAAAATAAGAAGCAATGGGTATGGCATAGACGTTTGGGCCATGTTAGCATGAGAAAGATCTTTCAGCTAAATAAGCTTGGATTAGTCAGAGGCTTACCAAATTTGAAGTATTCTTCAAATGCTCTTTGTGAAGCATGTCAGAAAGGCAAGTTTTCAAAAACCTCTTTTAAAGTGAAAAATGTTATTTCTACCTCTAGACCATTAGAACTTCTGCACATTGATCTTTTTGGTCGAGTGAAAACTGCCTCAATCAATGGTAAGAAATATGGAATAGTCATTATAGATGACTATAGTCGTTGGACATGGGTAAAATTATTGAAACACAAGGATGAGTCACATTATGTATTCTCTACCTTTTGCTCACAAGTGCAAACAGAGAAGAATTGGAAAATAGTCAGAGTCAGAAGCGATCATGATGGAGAATTCAAGAACAGATACTTTGAGAATCTTTTTATTCCCATGGAATTTCCCATGATTTCTCATGTCCTAAAACTCCACAACAGAACGGAGTAGTGGAAAGGAAGAATAGGACTTTGAAAGAAATGACTTGTACCATGATCTAAGAAACTGACATGGCTAAGCACTTCTGGGCAGAGGCAGTAAACATAACATGTTATATTCATAACAAGATTTCTATCAAACCTATTCTGGGTAAGAATCCTTATGAATTATGGAAGAATAGAAAACCCAACATCTCTTATTTTTCATCCTTTTACCTGTATTTGTTATATGTTCAACACTAAAGCGAATCTTGACAAGTTTGATTCCAAAGCTCAAAAGTGTTTATTGTTAGGATACTCTGAATGCTATAAAGGATGCATAATCTATAACAAAAAAACACGGATTGTTGAGGAATCAATTCATGTTAGATTCGATGATAAGCTTGACCCTGAAAAGTCAAAGCTAATTGAAAAGCTTGTAGATTTGAAGATTACTTTATCAGAATCCAAGGAGGAAGATTCTAAAGAAGAAGACAAATTTGCATAAACTATATACTTAGATACAACTTCACCAGAAATAATGATTAGTCCATCTCATCAGAAGAAGAATAGACGAAGGACTTCTCATTCTGAAGAATTGATTCTGGGAGAAAAAGATGATCCAGTCAGAACTCGTTCATCATTCAAACCTTTTGATGAAATTCTTCTGAATTTGGTCTCACTTATAGAGCCAATATCAGTTGATGAAGCTCTTCTGGAGAATAAGTGGATTTTGGCCATGCAAGAAGAACTGAATCAATTCACCAGAAACAATGTTTGGAATCTTGTTCAGAAATCAAAAGGTGTCCACGTCATTGGAATAAAATGGTTATTCAAAAATAAGCTTAATGAGAAATATGAGATCGTAAGAAACAAAGCTCGACTGATTGCACAAGGCTATATTCAACAAGAAGGGTAGACTATAATGAAACCTCTGCACCAGTTGTCAGGTTAGAATCTATTCACTTATTAATTTCTTTTGATGTTAATCATAACATCATTCTTTATCATATGGATGTTAAAAGTGCATTCTTAAATGGGTATATTTCTGAAGAAGTGTATGTTCATCAACCTCCTTGATTCAAAATTTCTGAGAAATCAGATTATGTATTTAAACTGAAGAAATCATTATATGGTCTGAAACAAGATCCAAGAGCTTAGTATGACAAACTCAGTAATTTCCTTTTAGAAAATGATTTTACCAGAGGCAAAGTAGACACTACACTCTTTTGCAAAACTCTTAAGAATGATATTTTGGTTGTGCAAATTTATGTAGATGATATTATTTTTCGTTCTGCTAATCCTTCTTTGTGCAAGGAATTTTCGAAGTTAATGCAGGAAGAATCTGACATGAGTTTGATGGGAGAGCTCAAATTCTTTCTGGGAATTCAAATTGATCAACATCCAGAAGGAACGTATATTCATCAGAGCAAATATGCACGAGAACTTCTGAAGAAGTTTGAGATATCAAATAGTAAACCTGCAAAAACTCCCATGCATTCTACATGCATTCTGAAGAAAGAAGAAGTAAGTAAAAAGGTCTGTCATAAGCTCTATCATGGTATGATAGGCTCTCTTCTATATTTGACTGCTTCTCG